AATTTAAGGTTGCATGGCTCCTTGGGAATGTTTGCCCAGTACTTCCCACACCACGATTCTGGCACTACCGACACGGACGCTCCAGTGTCTATCTGCATTCTTACGAGCTTGTCGGCTACTTCAACATCTACTTCATAGTTACGCCTTCCCGTTTCACACGCGTACACTGTGTAAAGCTGCATATCATCAGCTCCATCACTTTCGACGTGTTTAACGGAGTCTGTTTTGAACCTACAAACTTTTGCCAGGTGTCCGACCTTTTCACAGACATGACACTTGTACTTGCGGTACTTGCAGGGCTGTCCGGTGTGTACCTGTCCGCAGTAGGAACATGAAGACGTGGTGTCTCCCGTATGACCGGATGTCTGTTTAGAAGTGGAAGCTCGTGGACCCTTAGTTGACTTGCGCCACGTTTCCCTTTTCTGTTGCCGAACCGCGTTCACGTCGTCGTCTTCTCGTTGGCTAGACGACCCTTGACGACCTGCAGTAGGCTGAAACGTGATGGTTTCCTTGCGTGCGAGCTCGATGCTTTTAGCAATGTCACACGCGGCACCAAACGTGAACGTCGTCTACTTCAACAAGTCGGACTGTGTTTTCTTGTCTTTAATCCCGCGACGAACCTGTCGCGCAAAGCATCATCCAAGAAACTGCCGAACTCGCAAGTCGACGCGAGCCTCTTCAGCTCCACTGAAAAAGTGACTACCGTCTCCTCTTCCTTTTGGTAGCGACGGTTAAACTTAAACCGCTCGGCTATCACCATCGGCCTCGGAGCGTAATGACCTTTCAAAACCGCCACCAACTCCTCCCAGCTTTTCTCTTCTGGTTTGACCGGATGGAGTAAAGTCTTAAGAGTCTTGTACGGTTTCTGGCCAATTGCGGTGACAAAAGTAGAGAGCCTGAGGGCTTCGCTTACCTTTGTAGCCTTTAGGTAGTGTTCGAATCTTTCGATGTAAGATTCAAAATCTTCGTCACCATCCTCCACAAATGGATCGAACCTTCCCAACCCTGCCATGTTCGTTCGTGATGGACGTTCCATAGCTCGTCGCCAATTATGTTGTGGCTTACGACCACGGTGCTTACGACAAGAGACAGGACGAGGTGCAGCCGATGTAGCTTCCAGAGCCAAACGGTTTTAATGTCCCGTGCCCTCGTTTTTGTCTCGTACATCCCAGGCGCGCGCACACTTCTTTGCCCGCCGCCTCGCGCTGTTTATTGAAACAATACTCAAACACAACAATAACAATCACCTTTCCACCTCGCTCTGAAGGGGTCTTGAGCCCGGTAACCAACCCAAGAAGAAACGACTTGCTGTCCTTGCAGTCCTATCGGTCCATACGTCAGAGGTATGGCCGGAGTTGACCCAATGCTCATCTTAATAATGGAATTTGCGGTGCTTGTGTCTGTGATTCGTGATCGCTCTCAGGTATCGTCATCTCATCTCGCAGATGTCCTAGATTATTTTCGGTGAGGAAAGAGTTGACGTTCTGTTTCAATATTTTGAAGCCCAACATATCCATAGGCTCAAAGCACAGCGGCAGCAGGTCGTCTTCTTTGAGGGCAGCGGCGATCTCCCCCAGTGTTGGGATTTCACTTCGACGGAAGAAGTTGTGCATTCAGGACCTCACAGACACTGGTGGGAACACGACGTAGACAGCCCTCCTCCTCCGTTTACCTCGACCGCGGGCGTTTCTTTAGTGGCTTTTGCATAGCTTTGTTGCCATGTAAACAGAGCTAACACTAACGTCTGTCGCACTTGCAGTCAGAGTAACAACTTTATCTACGTGGTTTTTTTCGGTATTGCCCGCGCATCTAAGAATAACCGTTTAAAATGCATTATATCGTACGGACATTAGGTCTGGCTCGACAGGAAAGTTCCGCTCGCATGGTTGTTAAGGTAGACACGAGGGTGAACGCCTCCGGATGACAGAACCCACTGCGCCGCTCGAGCAGTTGAAGGTGCCATTTTAGCAAGCTGGCCTTTTGTGGCTAGCCGCGGCTACATACCAGTCCTTGAATCTCGCAGTACATTGAAATAGTATCGTTCGTAAAGAAGCATTCCTAATTTAGCCTTACGGAGATACTAGGCTACACTGCGGCTGCAAAAAAGAATTACTTTTATGACGCCGAACTTTTACGAGGACTATCTGCCAGAATGGATGAACCTGTGAGACGGCATGCGACCAATAAGCATTCAGCAGGGTGGACACACCTACTTGTTTCCTGAGAAGACAGCGAGTACAGTACGCTTCGAAATTTACAAGGCAAAAATGAACCACCTTAATGCACGTTAGGTAAACAATTGAGCTCTTTATATCAAGGCGCCGATTTTTCCGGCTAATTTTTAGGCTTGAGGACTACTGTGCTGATGCTATAATAGATACCAATCTCAGAAACTATAATGTACGGAATCTCTAACTGTTTTATCGTACTGGAATTGCGAGAAACGGTTCATAATTTATTGTGTAAAGTGTTTTTTGTTTTTCATAATGATATTATATGAAAATACATACCTTAATTTACCTGCAATTTATTACTTTTTTTTTAATTCTTACAACAAGCAAGATATGTATCCTGATTATTATCCCGTTACGCCTGTCAAGCCATCGGCGTTTTGTCGGTAGAGGAGCGACAAGGAATAAACCAAAAACTTATTTCAAGACGCAATAGTGTTTAAACTGCAAGAGTGCACCATAAAAAGAATTGCGGAAACCGTAATAATAAGCTTTAAAAGAATTGGTCTCAATGGGAATCGAGCCTAGCTTTCTTCGCCGGAGCAAAGGTGCAGTGGCCTAACCATCCGGCTAATCGTGCATCAGTGTTTTACGTTCTAATAGCCCCATATAAATCACTTAACTAGGTGTAACTCTTCGGTATTATTTATCTCTAGTTTTGGTAAACACCTTTCCCGGCAGTAACGGTACTTGCCGTTCCTAAAGCATACGGACGCGGTTCCTTTTACATACATTTCGATCCCCTTGGCAGGTTTTCTGAGAGAGGAAAGGATCTTTTACGATCAAAGCAAAGAGAAATTTTCGGTCACCGTTTAAATACTGTTTCGTCCCTACTTAGGTAGAAATTCCTTTTTATCTGTCGGAGCAAAACTCCGCAGTAGTCAGCAAGCCGCCCCAGGGACGCTGTGATAAAATCTACTGGTATAGTGGAATGCCCTTATGTGGAGCACCAACTCAGTAAAATTTTGTGCTCGGCATCAACCTGTCTGAGTTAAACGCAAAAAAAACACACAAAAATAAAAAAATTAAAATCGTGTCGCGGAGTGTGTGTAGCAATGCAGAGATGTGCGAGCAGTTCGTTAGTGAGAGATGACTTGCATACGAGGAAAGTTTATAAAGGCCTTATCATTGTCATAAAGGAATATGGATTCAGCAATGAATCTCGGGTAGGAGTTTACTGTTTCTCTACATATTAGCTACTCAAAGTCATGCACTTTTTCCAAAGATGGACAACCTGCCTAAGGTCATTGTTACAGAATTCGTTATTCTGAGTGTTCAAGAATCGCTCCACTTCAGCAATCATTTGGTCCTCGTCCTTGAAATGCTTTCCACGCAGTGGAGTGTTCATGCGGAGGAAGAGGAAGATGTCACTAGGTACGAGGGTGATTATGGGGGGTGATCCAAATTTTGAAATTTCATAACCTTAAGAGGCCGCGTGGGACAGCGTCGCCTGTGCCGAATGAAGGCCTGTCCAAACAGGATACTACAAACATCGTGAGGCGACACGACTCCATCAAAAATCGTGGAAATTGAAGCGTCCGGCAGTCCGATGTCTGTTTGGACACCGGCCATGCGAACATCACGATTTTCCTCCTCGCTTCCTCCGCTTTCGGTGACTTCAGTTCTCGTCAGACTTTACTTCACGCGCCACCTGCCAATGCTGTCCATTTATTCTGCCAAGCCTTCGAATACTTAGCCGTGTTTTAAAATTTACTTGATCTCATTTCAGGGTAAGGGTTTTGTACCTCTGCGAATGAAAATCTACCCGCGTCCATCGTCGTTCTATCTGTTTTATCGCGTGACACGACCCGCCGGAGTAGCTCGGGTCTATTTGGGTAAGATTTCGAACAAAGCCCTCCCTTTCCCGTTTTCGGGACCTGAAGAGCAGTGGAGGCCTTGAGCGATTGACCGACAGCCAACATAGCTTGTGAGTGGCTCTCCGGACCCACGTAATGAGCATGTTCAAGTCTCCCGCGAAAGTCACGGACGACCTTTGGCAGAAAAAAACTTTACCCCCGGCAAAAAAGAAAAAAAAAATGTAGGGAAGCGGAGTTTTGCACGATTTATGTCGGAGTCGTAAAGCCTCACGATTTTTGTAGTATCCTGTTCGGAAAGGCCTTGAGTCGGGGCATTGCCATGAAGCAGATTGACGCCTTTCGTGACTTTCCCTCTGCGCTTTGCCTTGATAATTTCTCGCAATTTTGTCAGAAGCTCACGATAATAGTTTCCTGTGATCGTTTCACCTTTGTGAGCGTAATCTGTCAAGAGAATGAATATCCTTGGCATTATTGCTTCCCTTCAAATGGAGAAAACGGATCACTGTACGTGCTTCAACTTTCCCGACGGGCGGTGCCATTTTGGTTTCAACGCCCTGGTGGCGTTCCGAGGTACTATTGACGCTTTTCGTTTCCTTTCGTTCTCAGTCACGTGGGTTCCGTATTTGGTATGCGGGACTAAAAAATAATAAACATTTCAACCTGGAATAGGCGAGGAAATATAGGTGAGGCAAAACAAGAATGTGCGACAATCACGGATTTTTCGTGAATACCTTCCAGCGGCGTGGAGATATCAAAACGATGTTTTAACGCGTACCAGATGTGACGAAATTCAAGATGGCTGCGTCATTGTAGAAAAGGTTATAGCAGGCGATGTTCATACTGTGCCCAAACTAAAGAGACGCGCGCTCGTGGTGCATCACCACGGGCGCGCTTTTTTTACTGCCGATAATACGAACTTTATGAACGCCCCTCGTATGATTGTTCAACTTACCAAACAGCACTGAGGATCATGATTCGCACACTGCGGATGTTGGAAAGTCCCGGTGGCGTCTTAGTTTCCAGGCACTGGTTGAGCTCAATGAGGTTCATAAGGGCAAACCGCACACAGTGCATAAGCCTTGACGCATAGGCCATCCTTGGGTGCACTTTGTGATTTATCCAATGGCAAGCTGCACTGAACACATCCATTTCTCTGTGGGACAAACCAAAAGACACCTTCAGTGGTACTAGAACTATATTGATTTGATAGCTGAACAAAACAGCGTGACCAGGGGAGGATTTATGGGTCATGGGTCAGGCTTCGGAGGGAGCGGGGAGGGGGCTTTTTGGTCACAGACGGATGTGACGTCACTGGTGTTGACCTAATATTTGGCATTTAACCGAAAAGTAAACATCTTTTTCTAAAGAAGCTGGTGTATGGCTACGTTTACATGGATGCGACTGCAGCGCATCGGATCCAGTTAACGAATCGAATCGGTCCATGTAAACAACTCGGATCGGATCGGATCGGATCCAATCCGATCCGCTGGGACGGGGTGGTTTGAGGTGGTCAATCCGAATCGAGACTCTCCATGTATACGGTAGCGGATCGAATCGAGTGCTCGAGCGAGGGATTACGGGAGCTTTGCTTCGCCTGCCGCTAGGCAAACCGGACACCTCGAAAACAATCTGAAGGTCACGAGATTTGCGTTGTGATCCTTCGACACGAGGTGCCGCTGCTGGTCGATCCGAATCCATGTAAACTTAGTGGTTGAAGTGGATCCAATTCGCTAACTGGATCCGATGTGCTGCTGTCACATCCATGTAAACGTAGCCAATGTCGTTTTTCTAAGTTGACCTTGAGAGGTTTAGGGGTGGCGGTCGCCCGCTCCCCCCACCCCCTAAATTTGCGCCTGGGCACGGCTGATTATGACAGCCTTAATCACTTTGTTACCGGTTCCCGATTGTTCTTATGTAGGGGTGCTGGAACCTTATAGGCCGCCCAGAAAAAAATGAGACGATCGAAGCTAGGAATGCACGCTCTGTCTTTGTGAAGCCGTCCGCGACTGAAGACCGATACAAGACGAACAAGCTTCAAGTAGTTTAGAGCGTAGGTTTTAAATGGTGCGCTTGACAAAGTCAGTATGCAGGGCATCCTCTATGCTTCGTCTCGCCTTAGCATGGACTATTGTTTGCCGCGCATGCTAAAAGCGGTAGCTAGTTGCTTTGGATGAAGCCTCGGCGGCTGCACGAGCGCTTCTGCAGCGAGTGCACCAGTCAAGGCAATCAAGGCCAGCCGCTCGCGCGTGCACAGCCTTCGCACTTAGTCCCTGCTAAGGTGAGACGAAATATAATAATGCCTACATCGACATCCTGCACACAGTACTCAATGAGCAGTTGGGAAGAAAATGCTCTATCAGCCAAAAGGTGAGGGGTAGTTCAAAGTTTAAAAAAAGGCTTAAGTACTTTCTCTTCATAGATGGCAAGTTCCCAAAATACAGTGAAAACAGCAAACTGTGATTTCTTGCAGCACATAGGTGTGGTCTCCCACCCCCTGCATCTGACATTGCTTGTGCTCTTCTGTCATACATGCATAGTCGCTTAGTGGAGAAGTGCAATATACCATGGGTTACGATAAATATAGTGCTTGCATTTTGATATATGACTTTCCTTAAATTTGTATTAAAGTGTAGGTGTGGTGTACAAATACTGGTGTACTGTTAATTACTAAAACACTTTTTTTTTTTTTTTGTGGGGGGGGGGGTTCGACGTGCCAAAGTTTGTGCGCATGAAAAGAGGACTGCGAAGGCACATATGAAAGAAGTATATACTGATTCCGTCTCCTCAATGCTCTTCCTAAATTGTCCATTTGCCGAGAGGGTCATGCTTCACTCTGTACTGATTAGTGGCCAGGACTCCAGAAATTTATGGGGCGCGGGAACTCCTACTTTTCACTTAGCCTAGGCTGGTCCCAGACTTGTACCGTACGCATTACAAGTAGTCAAATTACTTGTAATCGATTACTTTTTAGAGTAATTTTGTAATCAGTTGATTACTTTCATTAGGCAGTAATCACAAGAATAATCTGATTACTTTTTGAAGTAATAAAATTACTTGTAACCGTTACAATTTGTCCACGGAACTCCCCCCCCCCCCCCCCCCGGCACACGCCTTATTTTTATGAAATGACAAAAATAAAATTTGCTTTTTTTTTTTTTTTTTCGAGCGGAAAAAAGAAGGATTTTTGCGGAGCTGTAGGAAACGAGGTCAATCTATTTCTATGTACAGTTTCTGTGAAATGTCCGTTTTTTTGTGTTTTTTTGTTTTTTTTCGAGCTGGGACTGGGAGTGGGAAGCCCCAGGAAAGCCACAGTACATGACAAAAACCATCCAGGGCGAAGTTTGAGGAGGCAGAATATGTAGCTTTGTGAGTCCTTGGTTCAAACTAGCTCCCTCACGCACACACACTCAGAAATAAAAAATAAAAAAAAAATCCTGCTTAGGGTACCTACTCGCAGCCCGTAGGAGAACCAGAACCGAAGAATGCCTAAAGCGGATGCAAAATATAACAAAGGCAGTTGAAATATTTCCCCATTTCCCCTACGTGGTCTTTGTGACAAGCAATGTTTCGAGTTGAGAAGTGGTCGGGGCGATCTCTTCTGCTAATGGAGACTACACATGATCCGTTTTAAATCCTGGAACTGCTGCTCTTTTTATGCGAGCTCATCCACATGTGAATAATAAGATGAGCGACACAAACTTTGAGCGACAACCCTTGCTCAAGCTTAACAAGATCTAAAACCCCCTCGCCCCCCCCCCCCCCGCCCCCCCACCTACACACACACACTGGCGAACGCCCAAATTATTAAACGTCTTCAAACGAATTCTATGGTTGTGTCCGCATTGTGAAGGTGCAACGACCACGAAGAGGGAGCCAGTTTTTCTTCTTCAATACTTGTGCAAATGTGAAATATAGGTTGGAAGTAGTTCATTGTTATGAGCGCTAAAGATGTGTCTTCACACAGTAAAGTAATCGGAAAAGTAACGAGTACTTCTTTAAGTAATGTCCAATTACTTTTGCCATCGAGTAATAAAGTCATCTAATCGAATACTTTTTAGCCAAGAGTAATAGTAATTGTAATCGATTACCTTTTTTGAGTAACGTGTACAAGACTGGAGCCTGGTCCTAACGGCCGCTGGAGGTCCGTGTTTCAGTGGTGGCTCTCACGAAGATGAATAAATGTAATCCAAACAAGCGCTGATTCTTTTTTTTTTTTTTTTTTTTTTTTTTTTTTTTTTTTTTTTTATGCAGTGGTGAGATATTTTACTTTGTAAACGGGGCGATTGAAACTGAAACCATGCCACTCCTCTCCGGGGCCAAAGAGGTACCATAATGCAACGCGCGCAATGCTGCATGCAGAGATTTTTGGAAGTAGTCTACTGGGAGCACTTCACCCTCGCACTGCCGTGAAAAGTCCGGTTCGCCTGCATACGAGAGCTTTGGGCACGGCCTGAAGGCTCTGAAAGAAGGTTCTTCACCCTGTGTGCTTATGCAGTGAGAGAATGTTATACCCCATTGCACTTAGGGTGAACTACCGTGAATTTTGGGGCCCATCATTGCCATTTACGTACGGGACGAGGCGCTGATAGCATTCAGGCTCGGAAATGTGACATGCACTGGGATTTAATTGGCATCGGTGCCTCTCCATTCGCTAACCTTTTTAAACAGCTGGGATTTGCTGTAGCCATGCTCTTGTGCAAAGCAGAAGCGTAATCTTTTTTTTTTATAAAATGCTCACATTATCTGTGGGCACGGCATATAACCAAGGCTAGAGGCATGCACCTGCAGCTCTGGCAGACTCCCTCTGCTAGCGCAGTTGAAACGTTTTCCAAGGTAAGGCGCTCGCTTTATGAACATGGCTCTACTGCCACTTTAACTTTGCACACCGGCAACCTAAAAAAATGTAGTGAAAAAATGGAAATTTAAAGAGCACAAATGGGATGTGTTTTTTTATGTTTTTTTGTATATATATAATCAAAACACTTCTGTGCAATATTTGTGCTTTTAGACGCAATTTATGGGGAGGTCACGGTCCGTTATAATCTCCGCCCACAGATCAGTGGCCCGGCTCATTACTACTGGATTGGTTTGGCTGCGCGGTCGAACATGCTTGCAAGCTCGCGACATCCGGTGAGTCTATGTATATCTAGTCAGGAGTCAGACACCGCCTTCTAGTCGTGCGAGCAGACGCGCGGCAACCTTCAGCATCGTCTGCCTATTTGACCACCGTCTATTGTCGTCTGTAATGCCCGTACGATGCGGACATAAAAGCTGCGCATTGGCGACTGCTTTCGACTTCGTCCGCCTGGTATTCCGCCCCGTCTGAAAACTTCTGCAACGCTCGGAAGACGCAACCTTGAAAGCTGCATTCTAGCGTTCCATCATGCATAAGCCACGGTCCAATACAAGCGTCTGTCAGCGTCATCCGATTTACTGTCAAACGTGGACGAGAGGACTAAAAAAAATAAAATCAACAAAATAAGCATGCGGTCCTTCCAGCTTTTCTACTCATGTTATTTTGTTCGCATGACATCCGCGACCAAGGTGGCTGAGCTTCGTGACGCACAATTAAAACGCGACGTAGTGCAATTAACCTCTCCTGCCCTGTCATCGCGCGACGCAGCCGAGGTTGGTTGCACTATTTCTCCACGGAGCGCGGTGCCGTCGGGGCCGAGATGTAGGGAGGCTCAAGTGAGGGTGGGTGCAACTGCTAGATCGGCGATCACGGGACATGGACGCCATTTAATTGCTAAATTTTGCTGGGAGTCTATGGGGCAAAGGGTCGGTTTCTTTCCGAACTCAGGTCATAAAAGGCCATTAAGGTGCTTGAATAATTTACACAAGGTATAAATGATTAGTTTTCCATAGCCATCAGTTTTGTTGCGATAAGTTAAGTATTTTTTTAACGCGAAAAATGGCAAATTCTGCCATCTTGGACGTTGCTGCTTGTCTGGCAACCCTGCTTTCTCCGCTCGACGTTTGCAATTCTCGGAGCGAGAAGGAAGCGAGAGAGGCTGCGCCAAGGCGCTTGTTGCTTGCAAAGGGAGACGAGAGGAGGAAAGGCGCACGGAGCAACAGAGTTGCAACAGAGCGGGCACTTTCTCTCGTGCAGGCAACACCCTGGCGCATATCCTTTCTCGAATCCTCTCCCCCAGGCGCCGCCATTAAATTGCAAACGCTCTCCAGGTTTTGAGTTGCGCCCACCCTCACTAGAGCCTCCCTACCGAGATGCGCTCCGATAGCAAACCGAAACTTAAAAACCCGTCTAACTTGTGCGGTTTTTCAGAAAGCCGTAAAATGCTGCGCGTGTTTTCTCGACATCTTGTAAACCCTGAGATGGGGAACGATAAAAAAAACGGACGAACACAACAAAATCTATCGTTCTGCAATTTGTTGATTTAGTGTTTTTGATGATGCTGAGCAATTTTCGGATTGAAACCATGCCCTTAAACACAATATTAAAGAAGTTAATTACGCAAAAATAATTAACAATCTAATTATCTCGGATTTTAATAATTTTCATAAATAGGCCCCTGGCCCAGGACCAAAACAACACAAGCGTTTTTCTTTCTTTCTTCTTTCTTCTTTCTTCTTTCTTTATTAATACTGTTAACCTCTTTCGAGGTTGTTACATGAGTGGATGAAACATAATATCACACAGTTTGCACTTGCTGCAATAACTTGGAACAAAAATCTAAGAAGTTAGTAGTATTTACGACATCAGGTGGCAAACTATTCCAATCAATAATTGTTCGAGGAAAGAAGGAGAATTTAAATGCGCCATTTTTATAACTATATGGCTTTATTGTTCTGCTGTGAAAATGCCTAGTAGACCATGGGGCAAAAAAATGTAATGTAATCATCTTTGTCTATTCCAAGCTCGTCGTTAACGATAAGGTAGAGGAATTTTAGACGATTCATTCTCCTTTCGTGTATGGTTTCCAGGCCCGCCTCAGCACAAAGTTTTGTGGGGGACACATAAGAGGAATACATATTGTACACAAAACGCACCGCTAATCTCTGAATTCTCTCGAGTTCTGAAATACAACATGATGTGTGGGGATCCCAGATGACACTAGCATATTCTAACATTGGCCTAACCAGAGTTTTATATAATAATAACTTTGTCTCACGGAAGCCATGCTTCATATACCTGCGAAGAAAACCCAACTTACTCATGGCTCTACTACATATGTTCCTAACATGTGTGTTCCACCTTAAGTTAGATGTTATAGTTAAACCCAGATACTTATATGAGCAAACTCTAAGAAGGCTATAGTTACCAATAGAATAATTAAAAAGTAAAATACTTTTCTTACGAGTAATAGACATACAAACAGTCTTTGATAAATTCAACGACATTTGCCAATCGGCACACCATTTAGACAATCTTTCTAGTGAGGAATTTAATACTTCACAGTCTCCGAGACTTGCAATGCGTAATTTTCGCAATATCGAATTTGCCCACCTTTCGTAAAACACCCTTTATATATGTAAAAGATGTTTTTTTTTGTTGTTGTTGTTTTCTTTTTAGCTGCATCAAATTAAAAAGAAAAAAAAAACAAAGGAACGTGAGATAGAGTAATTTGAGCCCTGGGGAAGTGTTGGTGGCCATGTCGGCCTTTAGAAAGAGGGTGAAATTAGGTAATTAGTTAGCTAATTAACTAAAATGTTTTAACCCATTTTTTTTTTAATTTTCACTTGAGGGCACATAATGCATTTACAGCATTGTAGATCGACCACAGTATGGTCTAGCCGTGTCGTCAAATTTGGATAAAAAAACTCCTAGTAGGCGCTACGGGGTCGAGAAATGTACCTTTGGTAAATGGCGCAAACCGAAACTAAACAGGAAAGAGCGCCGGTAAAGTTATCGCTCCGCCCTTTTGGGCATGTGATTCGTCATTATCGCGGCCGGCTCCACTTGCTTAGGTGAGCTGGCCGCGATTATGACGAATCGCATGCCCGGAAGGGCGGAGCAATAACCTTAACGGCGCTCTTTCCTGTTCAGTTTCGGTTGGACGCCATTTACCAAAGTGACATTTCTCGACCCCGTTGCGCCTACCAGGAATGTTTTTATCCAATTTTGACGACACGGCTAGATCATACTGTGGTCGATCTACAATGCTGTAAATACATTATGTGCCCTCAAGTGAAAAATAAAAAGTTAGTGAAAACATTTTAGTTAATTAGCTAACTAATTACCTAATTCCACCTTTTTTTCTAGAGGCCGCCATGGCCGCTAACACTTCGCCAGGGCTCAAACTACTCTATCTTACGTTCACTCTTTTTGAAAATTTGGTGCAGCTAACAAAAAAACACCCTGTATATAAATGTATGCATACAAGGTGCTATGGTTTATTAAAGACAGATCTTTTTATTTTTTTTAATGCGTCTTTACTGCTACGTGAGTGCCGACCTCACTATATGTTTCTTGAGGCCGGCGCACAGTTGATGGGCGAACAATCGTCACAGTCTGGAGATTAATTAACTAAAATTCGTTAATTAACTTATTAAATAATGAAACTAGACATGCGGTAACCTGCGGAGCCTCATTTGAAATTTCTAAATCAGTAATTTTCAGAAAGACTGAGTGCGTGAGAAGCGCAGTAGTGCCCTAGATTTACCACTAGTGCAGCAAGTACAAGGCTGGGGCTATGATAAAACACTGAAAAATCGCACAGGTAGTTTTATATCTGCTCCACGAGTGGTAAGCTTAGCGCACTACTGCGCTTCTCACGCGCTCAAGGTCGTTTCGAGAATGACTGATATCGTGGTTTTAAATGACGATCAGCAAATTTCTAATTGGAACCATATGTCTATTTTCACTAATTAAAAAGTTAATTAACGAATTTTTTTGTTAGTCACCCGCCACATTGTGACGGTTGTTCGCCCCTCGAATGTCCGCCGAGCTGAACAAGTATGTGAAGACGGCATTGACGTAGCAGTAAAGACGCCTTTTAAAAAATTCTGTTTCAAATAAAAAATAGCACTCTGTATATTCAAACCAGTAACGCTTTGGTGAGGAAGGAGAATGGTTACGGGAACCTTCAAACTAAGAAACTATGTCTTTGTGATTGGTCTCTGCCACTTTTGACGACAATTGTGTGTAAATGCAGATTATACCCGACTCTGTTCCTAGCTTGCTTCGAAAATGCACGCTCGTATAAATCTAAACGGTTTCCACTTACGCGTGTGTTGTGCGTAGTGAAGTAATAAATATTAATCGATCTTTAATGACCCTCCGGTGGAATAGTCACCCTTCAATTGTAGTAGTACTTTCTCCGAGAACAAGCACGGTGACTATACCGTGTGTTTCAAAGGCTTTAAAAAGACCGTAAAAATAGGGGGCTTAAGAGAAAAAGAAGCTCTTTCCGGGAACAAACTGCCAGCCACTGCGGACGTCAAGGATTGCAAAAAGAATGATAATTAGTTAAATGAATAACTAAATTTTACTAATTAACTTTTGAATTAGTAAAAATTAACATATGGTACCAAATTAAAAAAAAAAAATCAAAGCATGCATCATCGAAAACCACCGAATCAACTCATTTTAGAAATTTCGAAGGCAGGGGTGCCATTTTACAACGTCCCGAAAAAGAAAAAATAAAGCTCAGTTTGGACGCGTTCCTCGGTATCGGTTTCTTATCAGAGCGCACCTTTGCGCCCGCAGTCATTCTCCCCGGTGGCTGAGGCGCGCAACACATCGGCTCCAGACTTCTCATCATCCTACGAGGGGGGCGCGGCGGTAGCTTCGCGCCTTGGCCACAGGGAAGCAGGCCCGCGGGCGCAGAGACTCGCTCCGATGAGAAGCCGAAACCTAGAAACGCATCCATCCAAACAGAGCGGTTTTTTTTTTTTTTTTTTTTTTTTTTTGAAAGCCGTAAAATGTTGCCCCTGTCTCAGATCATTCTAAAATGAATGATCTGAGACAGGTTTTCGATTATGAGTGGTTTTCGATTATGCTAACCCAGTGTTTTATATTTTAACCATATGGTTATTTTCAATACTTTAAAAGTTAATTAGTAAAGTTTAATCAATTAGTTGGTTAATTAACATTCGTTTTGCAATCCTTGACGTCCGCCGTGGCTGGCACTTTGTTCCCGGAAAAAGATTATTTTTTCTTAGCCACCCTATTTTTAGGGATTTTTGAAAGCCTTCGGTTTAAACACCCGATATATAACCTGATTTCACTGTACAACCACCTGCAGATACTGGGCTAGAACAATTATTGATACTTACCCCCTGCACCCAAGGACATCGGCCGACAACAGTTCACACACATCCTTGGCATCAAGCTCCAAAAACTCTTTGGACTCTGAGACCAGCGAAAAATTTGAGATCAGGTGGTGAAATGCTGAATTTTTTTCCTCCGGAATGCTCATGCGTTTGGCTGTTTTGTAGAGGATAATTTGCCGTCCAATTGGGCTCGTGTGAGTTTCCATCTGTCAGAAATAGAAAAGAAAAAAGTAACATCACGAAATAATTTTTCCAAGACTCGCGTGTGTGCGAACTTTGCTCGCCCCTAACAGCGGACGGACGTGTGTACTTGGGTGAAAAGGCCGGCTTGTTTGAAACAGTGTGTTATTTTGACGGTCTGGGAAAAAAAAACAAAAAAAAAAAACGACTGCCAAGGCAAATTGAAATAAGGGTTACTGCGTAGGCGAGCTGGTGAACGATCATAGTCAAATAAACCTTGAGACTAGAAACAAAAATTTGACAACAGAACGATAGCAACGATAGCAGATAGAAGTATACTGGACCAATCATCCTGTTCCATTGTCTTCCTAAGCTTCTTAAATTTAAAGAGATGCTGAAACACTTCTTGAAAAAAACAAAAAAAAAACGAGTTAGATGTGAATTTTGCCGTATTTTTATCCCGTGTATCTGAATATCACGTTCCTTTTTGCCGAAGATGTAACTAAACGCGACAGAACACGAAAAATCTCTGACCAGTCGTCACGTCATAAAAGGATCTTTGGGCCGCCAAGCGCGTGTCGCTCGTGTGGGCAACGCGTGCAATTGCAAGCTTGCCAGGTATATTTTTCCGCACAGACACCAGTCGTGACGTCTCTTTCTGACCTGTTTAAAACTAGCAAGAGTGCGCGTGCATAGCTTTGACAGGCGTTGAAGGTGCGCGAGAGCAGAGATTCCGAAAATTCCTAGTATTACGTCACGCCACAAGAAGGAGGGGCTTCGGCGGTACTTCAAAAAAATTAATTTCTGCAGTCTCCGTGCGCCAAATTAAAAAAAAAAAAAAAATAATCTTGATATTCTTGATCCTGAAGGCCAAATGAGGACGAATAAAATGGTTTTCCTCAAATACAGAACCGCTTCAGTTTCCTTTTAAATTATCCGTGAGCCGGGAGGGTCATGCTGCACTCTGGAGCGGTAGCCAGACCGCTAGAAAAGTGCGGGGATGCGGCCAGTCGTGCTCATATATAATATACTCCTCGCAAAGTCTAGGGAGGTTCTTACGGCCGCTGGAGGTCCGTGTTTTAAGCCGGGTTAACACTGCTTATACATCATACAAACGACAGTCTGCAAACATCAGTCACCGCGTTGTCCGTGGTTCGAACGCCGCGTGTCCAAGTTTCTCCTTGAACTCGTTGCCATGTGGCAATCGAAGCACGAGTCTCGTGGTGACTTACGTCCGAATCTGTTTGCAGCCTGTCTTTTTTGGTGATTTAGGAGTAGCCTGACCCCGGCTCTAACGGGGGCTCTCACGAAGATGAACGGGTGCAATGCAAGAGAGCGGTGACTTTGTTTTCATGTAGTGCTGAGTTTCACTACTTCGTCAACGGGGCAATTGAAACCGAAACCATGTCACTCGTCCCCGCGGCCAAAGAGGTTCCATAATGCAACGCGCGCAGTGTAGCGTGCAGGGAGTTTTGGGAGAAGTCTATTTTGTTGTCTGTATATTCATACAACCGGAAGTTAGCCTAAATGGGCGCTGGGCGTCTCAGCTGTAGATGAGATATGTAGCCAGTGCTGTACAACCGATACCCTGGGGCCTTTGACGTGCACCACGCAGTAGTGATACATGACAGCACGCCGATACGATGCTCATCCAGATCGAAACGGGCAGGGGTGGGGATCGAGTCCAGGATCTCTGGGTTCCGCAGCGCGAGCTTTCGCCTTTCGCTCCACGCGCTCCACGCGCTCCGAGCTTAGGTGCGCTAACATACTCGGCCCCTCGTCCGACATCGGTTTTACCGGAGAACTGCAAGCTTTTTCTTGCCGTCAAGACTCTAGAGAATGGGGTTGAACAAGTCCACCTAGGATAACCAAGCCCATCAGGTCATCGCATTGAGGTCGAGCGCAGACACTGAAAAGAAATTGGGTTGTGTGTATGTTTATACAGCCTAGAACTTGGTCTGCCTCAGCGGGCGACGTCTCCCAGCTGTAGATGAGAAATTTAGTCAGTGCAGTACAACTGCTAGACTGTGGTTGCTGATTAGACACGAGCGCTGCGTCGCAATTCGGTTGAAAATCGTGTTTACACAACGAGTCGAAAGGCTGCCATCGTCTGGATCTAGTCCAATTATTGAGTTGACGCCATTCGAATGTAGTGACGTACCGTTGAGGAGGAGCTCGTTCACAGGCTTGTCTGAAACGACGCATGAATGACGTAATGCCGTGAAAACGCACAATGTTTTTACGTAGGGTGCCTCAATGTCCTTCTGTTTAGGGTGATGGCACCCTTTGTAGTACCCGATGCCGACAGCACGCGCTCACGGGGAAAATACAAAAAAAAAAAAATCGACGAAAACAAAATGTCACCATAGCACAGTCAGCGCCACAAACGCGTGCAGGGACACGCTCGTTCACGCGCTTCTGAACAAAAATAAACATAAACGTGTGAGACAAAATGGCCAGATGTCTCTCGCTAAGCAAAGCGCACATGAAGGCGCCCTACTTTTACACCGCACGCCTATCTTTTACTTTCAAAGCCGCTGCAGTGAGCAACGGCAGAATGACCCAGCCAATCCAGCGTGGTTTCTATGGCATTTAAACAAAAATTAAGAGTGCACGTGCACATGCCACTTCGGGTTGGGCTCAAGCTGCGCGAGCAGAGCCGTATATGTAGAGAGTTTCGCCATTCGTTGGGAAGTCTAGGAGACAAATGAGGAGGCACCATTGGCCGAAAGCGGGCTGGGCGTGTTCCAGGGCGTCTTCACAAATTCGAAATAATACCCTGGCGGTGGTCACGAGAAACAAACTTAATAAGTGCGTCGGAGTAACTCTCGGTGACTGAAAATATAGTGCACGTGATGTCTCAATCACGGTCATCCAAAATCCGGGTGGAAGGGTGTGACTAGCGGGACAATCGACATAATCCGTAAGCCAAGCGCCGAGGGCCGGGAATCTGCCGTCCGAGCGGTTACACTCTGTCCGAGCAAAACAGAGTTGAGCGGCACATTCGTTTCTTACATCTTTCCGCATGATCATGATCGGAACATCACGTGCACCCTATTTTCAACCATGAAGGGTTACTACACTTCACTCTTGCGCACTTATTAAAACCATATACCAACATGTACCTTTGAATAAAATAGTTTCTCGCTACTACCGCTAGGGGATTCTTATCGGCTTCCGGTTGGCCAAGAGAGCATGTCAAGCCCACCTTCTGAGTCTGGTGCACGCCCTGGCTCTGCCCGCGCCTCCCATTGAGCAAGCTTTCCCTATACATGGTTCCCTGCGCGAGTGCAGACGTCTATAGCTTTAGCTATAGCCTTCTATATAGAGGACTCTGCTTTGACTTGGTAGCTAAAGTCCCTAGGTCAGAGCTTTCTACAAGTAGCGACTTTCTTTGACGTTCCTACAGCGTGACGGTGCAGGTTTTAGAAAGCGAATGGCGGCGCACAGCAGGGGTTTGAACTGAATGCCGCCAGTTTGTTCCAGTGGAAAGTGCTTTGTCATTTGTATTGGTTGTCGTTAATTGTAAAAGTAGTATCAAGGGACTTCATTGATAGATAAAATCCCTTGATAAAATTCACGCTTTCAAGTAGCTCCAGTCATTGTTGTGGAAACCCGCAAGACACGTGCCACGAGCGGGTGCTCCGCCGCCATTCGCTTCCAAGGGCCGCACATTGCAGTGCTGCGCCGCCATTTGCTTCCAAAGACAACTCAAGACACGTGCCTCGCGCACTGGCGCCTTTGACACTACTTGCCAAACAAACGCAAAAACATCGAGGGGCTTTAGTATTGCCGGTGAACTACGAGATTTCATCTCCGTCTAGAGAATGGGTCTGATACATGCCTGTATGACGTAGTGAGGCCGGAGCAACGCGCGCCTTCCTTTTACATTCAGGAGTGTGACCGCGACTGTTGCACTAAGCTATCTCAGAGGAACTATATCCAGGCAATCGAGCACCACGTGACGTCGAGCTCCGCGAAGCGCAAGGCAAAAGTGGAAAACCAGACCCTCTCAGGCCTGATCATTTTTGTGTGTTTGCAGATTGCACGGGCTATTGCGTCTCTTGACACGACTGCGAGGACTATGTGTACTCTCTATTGCACCATGAGTGCGAGGGAAGCCGGAAACACGAGTGCTTTGTTTCTTTCATCTATGGCCTTTAAAGGGGCACTGACAGGGTATTGATGCTCGCCGAGGTTTTTAGTTGTACGTGACATATGAGAGCCTAACTACCCAGAACAGAATTTGCGGCTCGAAATAGACCCTTTGCGAAATTCAGTGACATCTGGTGGCTATAATTGCAGATTAACTTTTGCCGTACTAATGGCGGCAATGAAAATGGAGACTGCCGTATTTTATCGGGCACCGTCACTTTGGCAAGTCAACGGCAAATGACAGTGTGCCCTTCACAGTACGTTTCCTTCTCAATCTCTTTCAGTGACGACAGAAACAAAGATGCAACCAGTCCGAACGAAGCGTCAACCCACGTACACGGCTTGATAAAGTTCTACAAATCAAGGGGGTTTGGAGCACCTTGATGCTACCAACAAATTGGCTGGGCCCGAGCTAGAAGTGAACACTTACGCAAATCTTGCTTCCAATTCCTGCTTCGCATCGTGCTAACGTCACGAATGTATAAGCCTCGAATTATCTGCTAAGGAGCATCTTCAACTTCTTCGTTCATCAGTAAACAGAAGGCCGCCATTAGTACGGCACATATGCCATTTTTCCGATGATGATGGTGATCAAAGTGGCCAGACTGAATTTCGGAAAGGGTCTTTTCGGTTTCTTTCCACCCGAAAACCGACGATCGAGAACTGGCCGGTTTGAGTCGCGCTCACTCGCTTTTCCGTGATCACGGACCGTTTTCTAAGGTTTAGACACGACCACCAAATTTAATCAAAGTCGTGGGTCATTGAAGGCACACAGTCAATACTAAAAATATTAAACAAAAATATGAAACCCATTTTTTGTGGCTTACAAAAAGCTGCAAATGCGTTGATTGAGAAAAAAAATTGCAAAGAC